ATAGATGAACAGAATGTGATAGATAGATGAATGATAGATAGATAGATAGATAGATAGAATAAATAGATAAGAACAGAATGAGATATGATAGATGGATGGAAATAATGGATAGATAAATGGATGGATAGATGATAGATTTTTTTTCATAAGATAGATAGATAGATAGATAGATAAAAAGATAGATAAATAGATGATAGATAGATGGATGAACAGAATGTGATAGAGATAGAAGATTGATAGATAGATAGATAGATAGATAGATGAATGAACAGATATATTGATTGATGTGATTGATGGATGGATGACAGAACAGAATGATGAATTGGAATCATGATGATAGATGATAGATATGGATAAATATTCATAGATAGATAATGAACAGAATGTGATAGATAAGATAGATAGATAGATAGATAGATAGATAGATGAATTGAATACAATCTAGATATAGATAATGAACAGAATGTGATAGATAGATAGATAGATAGATAGATAGATAGATAGATAGGATTGAATACAATCTAATCGACAATCCGACAGATGTACTGCCGCAACAAAAAGCGAGCGTGTGATGGGAATAAAAATGTCTTGAACGAAAGCAGAAAAGAAAATATAAAACTTTAACTGAAATTTAATTATGGAAAATCTGATATTTTATTTCCTTTGTCGTCTTTTTAACTGACTTTAAATATTTTCAGTGAAAATATTTGCCTTGCCAAAAATACTCGACAATCCCATTATTGCAAGTATGATTCATCGCGCTCTGGGACAATTATAATATTTATTATTGTCTATTGTTTGCCTAGACGAAATTTGCGGCTAGCAACATCTACAATATTCTTCATATTCGCAGCTGTATGTAATTCTAATAGTGTTATTAATAAGACCATAGAGAGGGTGTGGGTTTCAGGGTCTGGGGATGATCTTTCAAGGAGGCTGTAAATCTTGTAATTTCGTCCTTTGGGAAAGAGTTAGATGTGGGTATGATTTTATTATCATTTTTTTTCTTCTCTTTTTTTCCGTTGTCGTCAAAGATTTAAAAGCGTTCGTTGAGAATCTATTATCGAAATAAAGATATAAATTCAATGAAAGGTAAATGCGGCCTTTCAGATGGTGGCAATGATACGATAAATATGTAAGGTTATGGTAGTAGATTACGAAAAATTCACCCGAGCATATCTTCTATATATTTTATTAATCATTTTACCTCAAGCATTAAAATAAGGCCACTCTGCGGCTGTTCAGTCTCACGTTGACTGCTGACCTGAGATGGAACAAATACATTGAGTCAATTGCTTCGTCCACCGCGAGGAAAGTTGGCTCCCTGTGCCGCGCCAGGAAATTTTTCTCCCCGGAATCGATCCTCCAGATCTACAAATCAACAATTCGTCCTTGCATGGAGCATTGCTGCCATATATGGTCTGGAGCCCCTTCTGTTTGCCTCGGGGTTCTTTATAGGCTCCAGAGGCGGATATGCAATATAATTGACCCTGCTCTGACATCTCGTCTACAGTCACTTTCTCACAGACGCGCCGTCGCCTCTCTCTGTCTGTTTTACAAATACTTTCATGGCAATTGCTCCGAGGAGCTGCATTCGCTGGTTCCCAGACTTCATGAGTTCAAGCGCCCGACGAGGCTGGCATCCCGCTCTCACCCCTTCACTGTCGAAACTCCTAAATGTAGCCGTCTCTTCTACTCCAATAGCTTCATGTCTCGCACCTGTCGCCTGTGGAACTCCCTTCCCTATTCCAGTTTCCCTGAGAGCTATAATCTCCAGCTATTCAAATGTAATGTCAATCGACATATTCAATTGCCTTGATCTATCCACTACCCTTCTCCTCATCCTTTCTTCTATCACTCCTCTCTGATCTTGCTCCAAATTTTCTGTAACCCCTTGCGTCCTAGTGGCTTCTCGCCTTGCTTGGAGTGAAACGCTTAAAAAAAAGACATAAGATGTTACTAAGTGTTAATGAATAAATGATGATAAAAAAAAACACAACATTAATTCGTTTTCTACGGCTTATTAACCTTTCGCAGATTATATAAAACCGGAAATTATTTTTCGATTGTAAGAATTTTTTTGAGATAATTACGATTTACTTATGCAATTCCTACTAATTAACCCATAGATGGGGGAAAGAAAGTAAATTCATACCTTGACTGGAATTGGAACTAGGCTCTCCGATTTACACTTCCAAGCAATTATTCATTACACCATTGCATATCTAAACTCACAGAACCTGCTATTCCCAAGCGGTCACTCATCTAGCTACTGAGCAGGCTCGACATTGCTTAACTTCGGTGATCGTACAATAATCCATGTTTCAAAGTGATTAAGCCTGATTATTAAGAAAACAGAGGAATAAAAGAAAGGCAATTAAGCAGACAAAAGATAATGATTGACGTCGCATTTAAATTTTTGAAGATCAAATATGATTAGGAAGCAAGAGGCCGGAAAAGAGTGCCACAAGCAAGAAGTGCCAGGGAAGAAACTGTTAGCATAGAACCTACGGTTACATCTATATAAGCTTACACATTTATTCAGCCTCATTTAGCAATGTGACCCCGGATTTCCGTCTTTGAGCCTCCATTCTCTTATGGATGTGAGAGATACTCATCTCCCTGCAGTGGGTGTTTAGATATCTATTTGTCATACGGTTTCTTTTTCCCACGCATTTATCCTAGGCGTAGCTGAGTCGATCACGTCTTTATATCTCGAGTGAAGTCACCGACATCGGGTTAAGCGGGGATCTCAACCTCCGTCTGGGAGATTATCTCTCATGTCAACCTTCAACATGGATTCTCTAAAAGACACTGTCTGAAAAGAATATCTTGATATCATCAAATTGAAAGCATTCATCGTTTTTTGATTTTTTTAAATCCGTTTCACCCCAAGGAAGACATAAAAGCCACTAAGACACAAGGGGTTACTGGGTGTGGAAGAATTAGAAACAGAAACATTAATAATGAGCGGGAAGAAGAAAGAGTAATCAGGACGACAGCAGATAGCGATTGACATTACATTTAAAGTTTCCAGATTAAAATTGGCTAGAAAGCAACAAACCGGAAGATACAAGCGAGAAGTACAAGAAAAGAAACTGTTAGCATATAATTTATGGTTACATCTGGAGCAGCTCTCAATTATAAATTGATGAGATCTCGGCACCAGTCTAGTAGTGCTCTTAAATTTTAAAAGCTCTACGTACCATAGCGAAGAGCTCGTCCGAACAATTACCACAGAGAGTCAACCTTACGGCGGTGGGAAAGTGAATGAAGCCGAACTGCCAGATCAAGACAGTAATATTGCTGATACTTTTTTGGATCTTATCAAGGAGCTCAAGGTAAATAGCAGGAGAACCGGACTATATGTGGCAGCAATATTCTAAGCATGGATGAATGGTAGACATAGATATGTTAGAGAGATTCAGGATTCACGACCCAGTGAATCGACTTTCTTAGCAGCTGATCTAGTCATGGATTCAATATATGATAAAAGATGGATTTACATAGATTTTCAATAGGATTCAAATCAGGACTCATTGAAGACCATGGAAGCACTGTAATCTTTTTTCTGAAGCCACGCAGTCACTAATTTAGACGTAGGCTTAGGATTATTATCTTGCTGGAAAGTAAATCATTGACTTAGATGAACATTTTGCACTGACAGTTGTAGATTTTTATCCAGAATTTTGATATAGTCTGCAGATTTCATTATTCCTCTGATTGCAATTAATTGTCCAGCACCCACCCCCGCCCTTGAGCTAAAACAACCCCAAAACATCATCGAGCCGCCTCCATGTTTTAATGTTGCCACTGTGTTCTTTGGGAGGAAAGCCTCACCTGTTTTGCACCAAAATTTCTGTACATCATTATGTACAAAAAGCTTAATTTTTCTTTCATCACTCCATAGTACTTGTTCTCAAAAGCAATTTTCTTCGTCTAAAAACGTTTTGGGAAAATTAAAACGAGCAACAATGTGACATGGTTTGTCCTGGTCTGTTTCCATAAAACTCATTTCTATTTAAGCAACGTTGTTTTGCGCGAGTACTTACACTGATACCCATCGTATCCATTTGGTGCTGTCTTTCAAAACAACACTTGGGTATATATTAACCTCGCAACACAATTTTCAAGTTCTAGGTGATAAATTGTTTCTTTTTCTTCCATGTCCAGGCAAATTCTCTGTGGTTCCAAACTGGTTAAACGTCTTTATAACGGACTCTACCGTAGATCTAGGGATTAACTTCCACAAGTCAGGAAATAGTTACAGCACTATTTCAAACCGGTTAGCTATCCCTCAAAATCTAATGACCGTGTCTCAAGTCAACGCTAAGCCTCCTTTGTCTTCCCCATCGTGTTGTTAACGTAAGACTAACAATGGCGACACTCTACGCATCACATGATGTTCTTTGCTGTAATTATCATGAATATTCTAGAAGGCTCCACCGATGAAATAATTATGTAAATTACTTATACTGACACGAATCAATCAATTTAAAGCGATATTTTTTACTGTACGAATAATTTTGTCTTTTCTTATTTTGCATCATTCGCCTGTCAAATGTGTTTTATTTAATGTATTCTTCTGAAAATCGAGTTTTATATAAAGAAGGAAATATAAAACACGATTTTTAGAAGAATACATTAAATACAACACATTTGACAGGTGAATTATTATAAAAATAAGAAACAAAAAGATACAAGTAGAAAATAAATTGGCCGTCATTTCTTTAATTGAAGCTATAAGCATTAATCTGATTAGAGTAATTGTCAGCAAGTACGTGAGCATATTTAGAATTAAACGAGCCGGCATTACATTTTTTTCTCGTTCTATTGCTTTTTTACATATTCACATAAAAAAAATGGTATCACATGGGCATTAGATTTTGAGAAATGGATAAAAATATTCAAAACTGATGGGTGTATGAATAATTTTTTCGTTGACTGTATATAAAAATATGACAAACTGTAAAGGTTTTTATTTTTTTTTATGACGAATTTCATCCGTTAGGAATTCATCGGACCGGGTTTTGTTGACGAGACCACTTCTACGCATGCGTTCGAAAAGAGAGACACAAGTAGTTTCAAAATTTTTGAAAACAATATATTTGAAATAATTTTTTCTCAATCTAGACAAATTTCATCCGCATTCATTTTCTTTTTCTCTCTATTACGACTGTCCCTGACTCTTCCACACTGTGACAACATAAAATCTACCAAGAATGGTTATATATTGTAAGCGCCTTGACGTAAATTTATCGTGGCTGAGCTAACGATCAAAGCACTTTCCAGAAATTTTCGACTTAGTGCATTATTTTCTCTTTTAATCAAAATCGCATTCCCTATCTCAAAAAAGTTACGGTGAACAACCAATGCTTTTTCTGTGTTGTTATACTGTTTGTTGATATATAAAATTATAAAAAACTATGTATATATAGCTTAATTAAGTAATTCATCGAGTCTAAAAGAAACCTCAACAGAATGCACCGGACGGCCATTTCGTCCTATATTTGGAACTTACTAGCAGTGTGTATCTCCTACCGAGAATTGAAACCCGAACAGATATGATAGGAGGAAAACGCAATACAAACTGTACCAACTGGCCTCGGTGACGAAGAGGCAACAAATTAAACTCAATATAGCGCCGCTTGATCAGATATTCCGAGTTTCCCTTCGCCATAGGATTGTGCCTCCACAAGCTACGACTACTATCCTCAAGCCGCTCAGTCCAGAGCATTAGAACCCGGTTCAAGCAAAAGATATACAGAGAGAAATACAGTTGCTATGGCGTTTGCCTCCTATCGTAGCTGTTTGAGTTTCAATTCTTGGTAGTGGATGTACACTGCTGATGAATCCCAAATAAAGGACGAAACGGCCGTCCAGTGCTTTCTGCATTCTGTTGAGGTTTCTATCAGACTCGATGAATTACTTAATTATGATTATTTCAAATCCTCCTAATTATTTCTATCTGTATCTAATAATAATTATAACTAATAAATTTATATATATATATATATATATATATATATATATATGAAATTCCCTGCAGTAAATGGCTAAATAGAGATTAGACTGAACTAGTTTCTTCGTATTGTTCATTTGTGTTTCAAGAGATGGATTAATGTTATTCTTTCCTTGTATTTGGTAGTATACCACTCCGACACTACATCGACCTCCAGTCAATAAACATTTGCATTCGCTATGACCTACGTGAAAAACGATCTTATAAAATATAAACTCGTTGAATGCCCGACATTAGTATTGACTTGGGTCACTCCATATAACAGAAGTTACTCCGTAATGATACTCGTCACCGAACAACAGAGGTTCCCACTTCCCTTGCTCTTCGTCTCCATACTCTCCACTAACCACTTCATATCTGCTATTATTTTCCTTATTGAACTAATGAAATATTTCTTTCAAAGTCGAAAGATCACAGCGAATTTCGTGAAGCGGCCATGCATAATTTATGATTTGCTATTAAAATCCTTTCTTTAATTGCAGCTATAAGCATTAATCTGATTAGAGTAATTGGCAGCAAGTGCGTGAGCATATTTAGAATTAAACGAGCCGGCGTTATTTTTTTTTCTCGTTCTATTGCTTTTTTTATCCATACTTTTTTTCCGACACACCTTTCTTCTTCTTCTTCTTCTTCTCTACATTTTCTTCCTCTTCTTCTCTACCTCTTCTTCCTCTTCTCTACCTTTTCTTCTTCGCTACCTCTTCTCCCTCCTTTTCTTCTTCTTTTTCTTCTTCTTCTTCTTCTTCTTCTTCTTCTTCTTCTTCTTCTTCTTCTTCTTCTCTACATTTTCATCTTATCTACCTCTTCTTCTTCTCTATCTCTTTTTCAACTTCTTGTTTACCACTTCTTCTTCTCCTCATCTTCTTTTCTCTTCTTCCTTTTCACCACATTTTCTTCTACGCTACCTTTTCTTCTTCTTCTTCTTCTTCTAAATCTTCATCTTCTCTATCTCTTCTTTTTCTTTACCTCTTTTACGACTTCTTCTTTACCACTTCCTCTTCAGAATTTACCAAATGTTTTCGGTACCAATCATTCTGCCTCTATTTTTTTCGTTTCTCTTTCTTTCGAAACTTATTCAATTTTTTTCATCATTGCCTCCTTTTGTACTGGATAACCCGCTTCTTTCCGGATCCTTCATTTCTTTTTTTTTATTGTACCCCGCTCCCTCTCTTTAATTCTTTTTTTCCCTTGTATTCTTCTACTGGTCTCGTAACCTAACTGTATCTGATGCCACAGATGACATTTACTATTATTAGTTAAAATTTATTGGTACACTACTACGACTGGGCAAAACTGAAACCTCTATATACCACCACTTCACATATAAAAAATTGGAAGTACCCGTAAGCCATTTTTCAAAAAATAAATAAGATGGAAAAGGTGGAGGTAACTTCTAGGCTATAAAATATGGTCTTTTTTATGGTAGAATACACGAAGGTGCTGAAATGGTTCTGATTTTTTAAAATTCACGTTTCTATATATGGATGGTATCACTATTTGTATTAAAATTCCTTGGAAATTAACGCTCAAAATTCTTTTCCCAGGGCTTGAAATACTGAACTCTGACATCTGTGGTAAATAGAAAACTATATCTGCTGTAAGGAAAGTCGCGGACAATAATTTACTAAGCCGAGATTACTTCAACGTGGTGTAATGGTTGACAAGCTTGTATCGCCCCAACAATTACGACTGACTCGTTTATCCACTCCTCACAAGGCGCGCTATACTTTCGGCTGTGTGTTACATCTAAGATACGCTTAGTAAATCTGTATTTTCTATGTCTGACTCAAACTTCCCCAAGACTAGAATAGGAGGGTATAACGTGAACGCATTTCTTGTGCATAAAAACTGATGCAATGCACAAGGCAAGGTCCATTGGATGCGTAATGGTACCAAAAATACCTGTGATATGAGGTCAACTTAGTTGATACTTGGAATGATCAACGTGGTGGGGTATCATATAAAGAATCAAAGCTTTGTATTAAATTCAAGAGAGATAGATCTGAACAGACTGAGATAGATAGATAGATAGATAGATAGATAGATAGATCTGAACAGAGTCAGATAGATAGATAGTTAGATAAGCTGCTGTCCGAGTGGAAATTGCTTCTTACTAATAGAACACAAAGGGAATACGTGTACGTGGTTTGTCGTGTCTCAGCTGTAAAAATCAAGGCTGGTGAAACCAAGGAATATAGCTCATCAGAATATTTGCCATGGAAATAGTGATAGATTGGCGAGAAGTTTGAGACATTTCGTCTGTGGGGAAGAGGTTGTAGATTGAAAAATAATTCATCACCCAGAAGATCAGGTAGACGGTATTGAACACTGTCAAGATTGGCAAGTTAGGACTTGTTTGCTCGAGTCAAGATATGGCAGCTATACTCCATTTTTGGTTCGATCTTGCTTTTATAAAGATTGAGTAACGCAGGTCAAGTCGCTTAATAAGAGAACCGACTATATTCCAAACATCGATTACATTGCAGATTCTTCTTTGGATTTTGTCGAGAACCTCGAGATGAACAGCAAGGGCACCAGACTATATATGGCAACAGTACTCATTGCACGGGCGAATGCTAGATTTGCAAATATATAGGCTGGACTCTGACAAGAAAAACATTCTGGCACGACACAGAAAGTTAAATTTTTATGCAGCTGATGTAGTTGTTCCTCTTCAAGTCATTCGAAAGTGTAAGGCTAAGAAGGCACAGGGAGACATTCTTCTAGAGTTTAACATCAACCATGATAATAGCGGACAGCTAATTATTTTCGTGGTGGTTAAATGAGAGCAGTTGCGTTTTGGGCGGATTAAAATGTACAAGCCATTTTCAACCCCAGTTAGACCCTTTACGAGAGCAGTGGCCAGGTTGACATTGTCAGCACTGTCGGGTTTACTATTAAGACAGGAGTAAATGTTAGTGTCATCTACTTGGGAGCTGATGACATCAGAAAGATTACTGATGAAGATCAGAAATAGTGTAGGACCCAAGGATAGATCCTTGGGGAGCCCCACATTTATTAGGAAGGATCTGGAAGCGTGTACGTTCAGAAGGATCCTCATTTCACGATTTGAAAACAATGATTGTATTAAATCAAATAGTCGTCCTCTCATACCGTAGACTTGAAGCTTGCGCAGAAGACCAGCATTTTAAACTCTGTCGAGCGCCTTCGAGATATCTAGAGCCACAGCTCCATCTTGGACGATCTTATAAAGAGTAGGATGTATGCATTCAATTATGGCCGTGAGCACATCAACGGTAGACCGAGCAAAGCGGGATACATATTGATTGTCAGAGAGTAAGTCTTGAGAAGTAAGATGCTTAACCAGTTCAACATTGCTTAAAGCCTTGAACACTTTGCCGAAAAGCGGTAGGAGACTGATAGTTAAAGGGGCCAGAATGGTCAGCAGAGTTCTCAAAAACAGGAACTACAGACAAGGACTTCCAACAAGTTGGAAAACAGGAAACATCGAGGCAATATGGTTTGAAGAGAAATAGGACCAGCACACGAGCACGTTTCTTTAGGGCGATGGCTGGTATTCCATCACCTCCACTCGCCTTATGGTGGGGGCTAATTTAGAAATAATGTCCGAGACCAGCGACGCATATATCATTCAGTCGAGCATCCGTTCTGTTATGGGACCTTACCCATAATGACATAATGGACTATTCCATACGTAATAAATAATTCGCCTCAAGAGGAAGCAGAAGTTCAGTCTGAAGTCTGTAGTGAGTTCCGTCTGAAGTCTGAAGTTCAGTCTGAAGTGAAGTCTCTCAGTCAGTCAGAACGAGTCAGTCAGTCAGTTGAGTCAGAGGCAGTACGAAACAGAGTCGCGTTCAGACAATTACTACTAAACCTGATTGTTCGTACTAACACTTTTCTACTTCTCTGTATATATTCCTGTTTGTAATATATCTGTGTTATTCCATATCCGCCTTCGAGTTCTTCTTTATTGGTTCTACCTTGGACTATCACCGTGGTACAAGGAACCGGACCATAACACATTCTAAGTGGGGAAATCAGGTATGGTGAGTCCAGTATTGTGATGGATGAGAATTTCCAAGCAAAGCATTCAGCTTTATCGGATTCGTTGAATAGAGGAGGGATTGAGGATTTGCTGTTGTTCTGCTCACTCTTGCAGAGCTGCCAATAATCTCTTGAATCGAACTTGCTAGATGCTATACGCTGATTTATTTTGTCAGCAAACAGTAATTTGGATTCATTGAGGACACGCTCGCATTCGTTTACAGCATAGACAAAGAAACGTCTACTGCAATCAGTCTAGCCGCCCTGGTACAGTCGGTAGAAGTAATTCCTGTAGGCTATAGCAACCGAGCAAACCGGAGAGAACCAGGGAGATGAACGCGGTTTAACATGATACTTTCTGGCTGAAATGAAGGCATCAATGCCAGCTTTCACCAGGAGACCTCAGCCGCACATTTGTGAATGGGGTGTATTAAAAACCACACTCCAAATCACGTCTCGAAGAAAATCATGGAATGAGTTCCAATCTGATCTTTGACCACTAAAAGATATTCTGTTGGTAGTCGGGTCATGGTATGGGGATATAGGTAAAACAGGGATAAAGTTAAAACAGGGATTGAGAAGTGAGCCGTTTCGACACAGAGAACCAAATTTTTGACCTAGCAATGGATTCAATATAGTCACTCTATTTCGTGTCAGCTGAGAACGTTAGCCAAAGAAGGCGCAACGAGTCACTTTCTTGGAGGTTAGCATCAGCCATGCTGATGGAGGACAGAGAATGTCTCTCAGATGATTAATGGTTTGGGTGCGTTGAAATTAACAAGCCATCTTCTGTCTCAGTTAGCAACAGACTGTAGGTCGTTTTGGACATAGGCTGCCATTTTCACCGTATCAAACTGATCATTTACAAAAGTAAATGGTTATGTCATCTTCTGTCGAGAAGGTCATTAATGAAAATGAAAAAGAAAATAGGACCTCAAATAGAGACCTGGGAACTCCCGCATTAGTCCGAAATGATCTAGACGAGTGATCCTTCAGGATAACTTTCATTTCACGATTTGATAGCAAAGACAGGATTAGTTAAAAAAAAAATTTGTCTGGAGACACCGTACATTTTCAACTTATGGAGAAGACCTGTCAAAAGCTTTCGAGATGTTCAAAGCTACAGCCCAGGATTCACTATTTTTATCTAGAGCATGATAGACTCTCACTACGATTATCGCCAGTAGATCAGTAGTTGGCCTGGAGAAACCATAGATATATTGCTTGTCGGAAAAAAGGCCCTGCAATGAGAAATGCTTAACCAATTCAGCATTGATTAGACCCTCTAAGGATTTCCCAAAATGAAGTAGGAGGCTAATAAGCCGATAGTTGGAAGAGTCAGATGTTTCAACAGAGTTCTTAAAAATTGGAACAACAAATGATGACTTCCAACAGGCAGGAAAGCAAGAAGTAATGAAGCATTTATTATACTGTTTAAAGAGAACAGGAGCCAGTTTGTTTAGAGAGAACAGGAGCCAGTTTGTTTAGAGAGAACAGGAGCCAGTTTGAGAACATACTTCTTAATAACTATTAAAGAGATACCATTAAGTCCATATGCTTTGTGAGTATTTAGGTTAGAGATGATAGCAGAAACCATGGAAGAGATTATATGCATATCCCTAAAAGTGACTCAGTTCTAAGTGGGAAGCTACGTATGGATACACCGGAAAGGTGAATAGTAGAGTTTGGGAGAATTTCAGGCGAAGCAATCTGCTTTATCAGCAAAAGATGTTAATACCTCAAATGGATTGAAGAGAAGAGAAATAGAGACTTTACCCTTATATAATACCCTATTACAGAGACGCGGTAATTACGAGAGTCAATGTTGTTAAATGCAATACGTTGACTCATACTTTCGGCAAACAGGGACTTAGATCCTTCGAGGTCTCGTTTACATTTATGGCGAGTAGAAACAAATAAGCGACTGTTGTAACGAGAGCTGTTAAGCTGGTATAGACGAAAATAGTGGTTAGCGGGTAATAGTGACCGAGCATGCTGGTGTGAACCTTGGAAAAGATTGAGGTTTCACCCTGTATTTCTGAAAGGATTATTTATATCAGCTTTTGACTTTTACAGACACTCTCACACACACACACACACACACACACACACACACACACATATATATATATATATATATATATACATACATATATATATATATATATATATATATATATAGAGAGAGAGAGAGAGAGAGAGAGAGAGAGAGAGAGAGAAGAGACAATAAAACTTATCTTAGCCGACACGTTTTGTCCACTCAGGGACTTTATCATGGCAGATTTTCACTAATAAAATCACTGAGAAGACGAAACACGTCGGCTAGATAAGTTTTCCTTTCGTCTTTATTTATACTAACCTTTTACAGATATACTCTATCTGTATTTTTTACATACATATATGTATATCCAGGCAATTTCAATTGTGGATAAAATAGTCAAGTTCATTATCAAGAATACAATATTTTCAGCACGGACGATAAAATGTAGGTGGCTACAACATCGTAATATATTGCAAATGGTTGAACTATAATTCAGTTCAAATATACACATATTATCTAATTCTCACAGGTCTTAAACGCAGCAGTTCAAAATGTATCAAATATTATATATATATCTGTGTGTGTGTGTGTGTGTGTGTGTGTGTGTGTGTGTGTGTGTGTGTGTGTGTGTGTGCATATATATAATAATCAAGAAGAAACCCTTAAAGATTCATTTCGGTTATAATTTATTTCGTGAATATCTATATATTCATCTCTTCATACCAAAATCTTTGTGTAAATGGTAACAATTCCCCGGACTGATAGATTGACAGGTGGAGGAGAAAACAAGAGAGTAGAGAAGAAAGAATGAGAGGAAGAAGTAAAGTGACGGGTGGTCAAGTTCTTTTTAAAAGTGAGATAGAGAGAGGGCAAGGAAAGGAAATCGAAAAAAAAAAAGAGATGGATGAATAGTAGTAAGGCTAAAATAGAGTGATCCGGCCAAGAATCTTTTCCCTTAAAATGTTGAACTTTTTACATCTGGT